GGCCGCCCGCCGGGAGGGTAAGCGGCCCAGGCGGCGAGAGCCCCTCTCCCCCCACCTCGACCACTAATTGTCAGATTGAGATGTTGATTTGTCAGCTGGGACCTAGCGCCAAAGAATCCGCAGTAAAACCCGGACTCCTTGAACTTCCTCTCGGCTGCGTGCAGGTTCGCCCAGGCCTGGAGCTTTTCTGGATTTGATGTGGACGGGTTGGATTTCACTTAGAGATGGGCAATGCGAGCGCAGTATCACTCTATTCCGATAGGAGGCGCACCAGGCTACAGACCCTCAGTTTCCCTAGGAAAGCTCATCTTGGGCGCAGTTCCACTTGTACAGACCGGAGGCCCCTAGGGCTTCGTCCCCCAGTCTCCCAGCAGGGGGCGCCTGGCCCACCACCCTCTTCTCTTCTGCAGCTAGATCCCTGCTTCCGCATTGGAAGCCCCCAAGGCAGCGGTCCCCCAGTCCGCCTTCAGGTCACGCCCGTGGCCATATCCTGCCCTCTCTCTCTTGCAGGTGCCTCCGGCCTCCCGCAGCCCTCGGTTCTCCCGCAGGAGGCGCCCCTGTTGCAGGTCCGCCCTCGCCTTGCCCTAGGCGCCTAGGCTCTAGTCCCACCCCCGCCCTCTCCCCAGCCAGGGCCCCGGAGCTCCCCCGGCGGCCGGCTGAGTGACGGGCGGCCGGTGATTATGCGGAGGGGGGAGCGGGGTGCGCCGCGGGCGGCAGCGCTGACCCTTCACATTTCCGATCCGCCGGGACCCTCATCCATCCGAAGCTGCTCTTTGTCTGGCCGCCTAATTGCCGGCGGACAGGATGGATGGCGGGACCGACAGCCGCGGAATCCCTAATAAAGGCCGCGGCCGCCGGGGAGGGAGCGCGGAAAGGAGGGGGAGCAAGAAGGAAGGGATGGAAGGAGGTGGGAGGAAGCACCCGGCCGCGGCCGCCGACTCAGAGCCGCTGCGCGCGGCTCACGCTGTAGCCAGGCCGGCCTGGGGTGCAGGACCAGGCGTCCTGGATGGACCCAGGTCCGGGCGCGGTGGATATGGGTCTTGTTAAGTGTGCTGTTTGTTGGAGAAGAGGAAAGAGCCGCGAGCAGAAAGAGCATCCTAGGGCCGACCCCGCTTAGCCTTGCCCTCGAGGCTTCCAGCTTGGCGCTGCCTCCTGGGCTCCCGGCTCTCGCCAGCTGGCGCCCCTCCCTCGGCCCCCTGCACACCCCCTCCTCTGCTCACCTGTCGGTCTCCCAGCGCGGATCCAATATCCCGGCGGAGAAATGAGGGGTCTGACAGCTGTCTGTGCGGCCGCTCGCCACATTTCATTAACTGGAGGCTGGAGCGGGCGGATGGTGGGGGCCAGGGGGAGCAAAAGGAGGCGGAGAGGGAGGCCAGGGCGAGGAGATGCACCTGGCCAGGGGTCAAGGGCTGCGGAAGTAAGTCAGCAGCGCGATCTTGCCTGACACACACCTTGGAAACAGTCTCTGCCCCCTCCCGGTGGGAGCCAGGAGCCTGTCCTCAGCCCAGTGGGCGCTAGCGCGGCCCTTTGAACCCCAGGCTGCACGGAGCTGCGGTGCCAGGAGGAGTGGCAGCCCTAGGGCTTGCCGACCCTCCGCGCAATGGGGCAAAATGTGCGCGGGACCTTGGGCCGAGGCTGTTTTCCCACCGGTGGTGGGAGGAGAGAGGCCCTCAGCCCCACCCCCCTGCCCCGGCCAGCTTTCCTCCCTTTTGCCTCTTGAAAACAATTTTCCTCCGATTGGTTTCGTTTCCTTCTCCATCCCTATTCTCTGCCCACTCCTTTTGAACGGCTCCTCTCCGCAGCTAACTTCGTCCGACGGTTAGCTAACAATTGAGCACCTGTTGGGTATCAGGCTCCACAGCGCAGGGGTGGGGGATGAGGGACACTGAGCCAAGGCCCTGCCCTGTTGGCCTCACTCACATAGATCTCCTCCGAGACCCGTTCAAATCTCGCTCCTCACTCCTGCCCTGCTTCTCTCCCCCTTCCACTGTCTCCATCTCCATCTCTCTTCTCCAGGGCACTGAGATCAGAACTCTAGTTCTAGGCCTGCCACTTACAGGGTGATACAGGGCAAGCCATTTCTCCTTTCTGGGCCATTGCCTCATTTGTAAAAATGGAGACGATATATCCACCTCTCAGGGGTGCTGTGAGGATGCAGTAAGAACTTGCATATAGAAGCCCTAAAATACAGCAAACACTCAATTATATGATTTCCCTTTCCATGTTATCCCCTGTCCTCTCAGGTGGGCAAAGTTCCTTTCTCTTCATACCAGGGGTCTGGTACCAGGCAACCCAGGCTGCTTCCAGTTCTGTGTGCTCTTACATGTGGGCGCTGGAAGCCAGCGTGTGTGTGAGGGGGTGGGGGCCATACTATAAATTACCCAAAAAGTGAGGAAGGAGAGAGTGCAAGCAAACAAAAGTGCTTTCTTAGATCGTGATGTAACATCAGCCAGCTGGTCTCTCTCCTCTTACAAATGAGGAAACTGAGGCTTGTGGAGGTTCCCTTGCTAGTGACAGGGACAGGTCACACTGCTAGGATCTTTCCTCCCATGAGCCCTCTATTGCTCATCTCCTCACTCCTCTTCTTCCCTTGAGGGGGTCTGGGTCAGTGACGAGGAGTGTGGGAGAAGGAACAAAAAGAGAGAACCTTCAAGGAGCCAGGACCTTTCCACTAGACTTCATAAAATTTTAACACAAAAACTTCCTCAGAGTAGAAAGCACATATCACATGCAAATCATATGCTAATCACATGCTAATCCAAAGTCTGGTCCTCAGAACTCTGACACACACCTGGCTGTAGGCTCTGGGGGAAATTCTTGGGAGACCCCTGGGTTCCAGGACAAGACAGACAAGAGATGTGTTCCACTTAGGCTCAGGTTATGGAGTTAGGATTCATTTTAGGATTGGAGAGGAGTCAAGTATATAATTTGGGATTAGGGTCAGGGGTAGTGCAGAGTCAAGGGTGGAGGTTAAGGTAGGATTCAGATTGGGCTGTCTTTTTATTTTACTTATTTATTTTTAAGTAAGCTTTATGCCCAAAGTGGGGCTTGAACTCACAACCCCAAGATCAAGAGTCACATGCTCGTCTGACTGAGCCAGCCGGTCGCCCCTGGGCTGTGCTTTTAAAGAGGGGAGTATAGGGGACTCTTTAAAGGCCTCCTTTCCCCTACCCTCCCCCCATCAAACTCGTCCCCACCTCCACTGTCCTTGCCACGTCCTGCAGCACACCCTTCTCTGCCTACTTCCCTTCCCAACCACACCACCTCCCTGGGGCCTCCCAGTTTGGCTGCCTGGGGAGCTCTGGATAAATCGTCCCGGACCCCAGCCTGAGCCTCAGCATTTCCTCTTGAGCCCAGACACTTGGCTTCTAGCCCCAGGAGCACTGGCTGGCCTTGACCCTACCCAGGTCCCTCATCGGCCGAATGTGACAGCTGCAGGGGAAGCAATAAGGACCTGGTGAGCTGGCAGCTTCATTCCAGAGCGTGGGGAAAGAGCAACAGAACATGAATAAATTCATGGAGCTGGCCCCTCAGCTCCCTGTGAGCCAAGCCTGCTCCCCCCCACCACACAGACCCGCTGCCGCCTGCAGCCCTGCTGGTCACCGCAGCTCACAGCCTGGGCTGGGGACGGGAGGAGAAGGGACACTCCAGAGAGAAGAGGGCTGGGACCTTCAAGGGGCTGAGGTGAGGGGCTCAAAGAGAGGGCCTCGGTGAGTAGGAGAGTGGGTTGGGGAATGGGGCTGAGCAGTGAGGGCCTCTGGTCAGAGGAGGGAGGGCAGGGAAGGAGGGAGGAGGAAGGAGAAGGGTGGCAGGACCTGGGGACGATGGGGCTTGAGGATCAGGCAGGGTAGGCCAGCCTGAGCCCTGGCCTGCCCTCTCCTCTCTGATCCATCCATCATCCAGCCTGGGGGAGCAGTTCTGGAATTAGACATGCACGGGGCCGACTTGGCCCTCAGCCCCCCCCCCGAGGAAGACAAATGGCGACAAAGACCTTGAATAAAATTTGTATTTATGGTTGGAGGAGGAGGCCCCTCCCCCACTGACTGCCAATCCTTTCTCTCCCAACCCTTTCAAGCATGTAGGGGCCTCCCTCCACACCAGCCGAGCCTCAGCAACCTCTTCTTCCTGCACCATTATGGGCTGGGAGGTGCAGGAAAGGGGTACAGAAAACAAGATGAGGGGAATCACCTTTCACCCAATAATCATGCCCTGGTGTGCCCCATGCCCTCCATTTTGCATAATTTATTCCTATGTATTACAGTCCTGGCTTATCCTAGTCAATAAGAGGTCCTTTGCAGCTGTCCACCTCCAGGGTCTCCAAACATCCCCACTTTTGCCAGTCCTGGAGCCCCTTTTCCAAACCTCTGGCCCTAGGGTCCCTTGTGAGCAAGAAATTTCCTCCAGAGGTGCCAGACCCTAAGGAAGGATTCAGCCACCAGCTTTTTTCCTGAACTCTGACCCCTCACAGAGGGGGATCTATCAAAGCTTGTGTCCCCTCTTGGTCACTCAGAATGACAGAAACAGTCACCTCTCACAGGAGGGTGCCCAGCATTTAATCTGCATTTTAGTTGTGTTAATTTGCATAACCAACTTCAAATCCCTCCCTCAAACATTTACTATGTGGGATCCAACTTCTTTGGGTTGCCATCTAACCACAAATTTTTGGGAAGGGGAAAGAGGCAGAGATGCTGGAACTGGACAATGTCTGGGACTTGGGCAGGAGTGGTGCTGGGCTGGGCTGGGCAGGCAGGACAAGTGGGAGACTACAGCTGCTTTCTGACTCTTTCTCCCCAGTAGATTCTCTACTTTTCAGTCCTAAGATAGGAGAGATGGCATTCATGGGGCCCCACATTTAGGGGCTAAGAGGAAGCCAAATACAAAAACCTCCCTTCAGACAGCACACACACACACACACAAAGACAACTATAAATAAATTAAATTTTAAAAGAAAGAAGTCAGACATAAAAGAGTATATACTGAATGATTCCATTTATCTGAAGTTCAAGAATGGGCAAAACTAATCTATGGTAACAGAAGTCAGAATAGAGGGATGCAAGGGAACCTTCTTAGTGCTGGATATATCCTATACTTTGATTTGAGTGGTCGTTACATAGATGTATACATAAAACTTATACACTTTATATGTATCTCAATAAAAAGTAAACAACATATATGTATCCTTTTCCCACTCACTATTAGAGCCTCTGTACCTTCACCCATTGCACACAGAAGCCCAAAGAAATCAGGACACTCTTCTAGGGCCCGGCCCAGCAGACATGAAAACAGTACTTCCACGGAAGGGGGCATCATTTCCAATAAAGCTTAGCTTAACTCCCAGAGCTGTCCCAGCCAGGAATGAGAGAGAACAAAGCCTTACCTGGTAAGCCAGCTGACGCTTCTCTTCCTGAAAACTGCTAACAAACTCATAGAGCTTCTCCCACTCCTGGAAGTAGCCGCTGCTGAAGCCAGGATCCCCCACCAGCAGCCTCCAGACCCGGTAAGGCAGAAGGAGGACAGACTCCGTGAGGGGGCCAAGGAGGGGGAAGAAGCTGAACCAACTCAGGAAGGAGCCAAGGGTTTCTGCCACATAGCTGAGGGTGGCTGCTGTGTTGCAAAAGGCGCTGTAGGCTAGTGGGCCTGTGAAAGCCAGGTAAGCCAAGCCCAGACGATAGAGCCGAACACTAAGCGTCTCTGACCCAACTGAAGCTTTATAGCGGCGATGCTTCTGGGCTGTAATGCTGGCAGCCAAGCTAATGGGCAGGATAGCTATGGGGCGGCCGTAGAAGAGAGGGGAAGTAAGAAATGCTGCCCCTAGAGTATTCTTAAAGTCTGAGGTCTGGTTGCCAACAGCAGCCACCAGCAAGACCCCTAAGCCAACTGCCAGTGGGAGGCCCACAATATAGAAGTTGGCCATGAAAGAAAGGCTAATGAGAGCCACCAGGCCAAAATAGATGCCCACTATCATCTGGGCGACAAAGCGAATAAGACTCAGAGGGGGTGTCCTCCCTCCGGAGCTCTGCCTCTGCCGCTCGGTTCTGTTGGCCTGAGCTACAAAGCTTGGGAGCTTCCAGAATTCCCAGAGCCAGCCGAGCCCACCCCCTCCCAGGGTAAGCATCCAGAGCAGTGCATGACTGTCCCGCCCAAGGTATAGGTGGTGGAGCCCAGCAGGGCCCCCTACAGCCCAGAGGGCATAAGTCACCAAGAGCCCCTTGGCCATCCTCTAAGGAAAGGGTGTCAGATCAAGTTCAGTGGCACCTGACATTGCCCAGAATGCAGAAATCTGGGGTCATCTGTGAGAATCATGGCTGTTATGGTCCCAGAGTTATCCTTAGACCCTAAGAGATGGAAAAAAGCAGTGGTAAGACTATATCCAGGTCCCAACCCAGCAAACCATTTCTCCTTCCAACAATAATCAAGTGCAGATCTTCCTGAGTGTCCCTGAAATGCAGATTCTCCCATACCCTTTGATCTGGCACCTCATTTCTGTTTTTTTACAAGCATAGCCACTCCAAATTTAGGAGAGAAAAATGTTTTTAAATACTTTCAGTTGATGTAGAACTCAGCAGATGGACAGAAAAGCAGCAGCTTAAGTTTCAGACCACTGATTCCTGGAATGACTTATGGGGGGAGTGGAGTGAACAGGAGTGAATAGAATGCCCTTCTAAAGTTTCTACACATTTTGAAAATCCCCTGCCCCTCCCAACGCTCCTCAAGTTCACCCTATGGCTGCCCTCAGACACATGGCCAAGGTTTCAGCCCCTCTCCAGCCTTCCCATCTCTCCAAACCACGCAATCTTCCCACAAGTCACACTTGAAAGAGGGTCCTGAGGTCCCTCCACTTAAACAGCTCTGGAAAACTAACATTTTGACCTAGACCCTGGCACCCCGCAAAGGCGGACTTGGAGTCTCTACAAAGAGGCCTGATGAACACCCAGAACACCAAACCAGATGCCAACGTGTGCCTGCCAGTGTCTCCCCGCTACGTAGAGTGGGCCTCAAGACCACCAGCCAGTTACCTGCTAGTCCCAGGGTGGGCGGCCGTACCTGGGTACTCCGGCTCCCAGACCCCGTCAGACCAGTCATTTCCTTTGACTAGAAAGTCAAAATGGCCCCTCTCACTCCGCTCCCACTTGCATCCAAATGGACTTTGTCTTTCTGTGTTTGCTGTGTCACGGAAGTGGGGCCGTCCGGATCAGGCCCCTCCCTAAGCACCCCCCGCCCCTCCCCGGCCTCTTCGTGATCACCTTTCAGCCTCGGGCTCCTCTCGCCCGCCCTTTCGGTAACTCGGTGTAAGGCTTTCAGGGCGCATCCAGCCTCCCCGGGCTCAAAGGGGAGGGCGCAGCGCCCCACTCCGGGCCCAGCTTGCCTGCACCGCGGCACCGCCGCCACCAGGTGGCGCTGCCGCTTACGGAAGGGCGTGGCCGGGCGGGTCTCCAGACTCACCTTGTCCAGTTGCCGGGGCAGAGCAGCCCAGAGCGGTTCCCTACAAACGCAGAAATAGGCCTTTGGTCGCCCCTTTCCACCCCTACAGACGAGAGGGTGACTTGTCCCTCACCTCAGGGTGCGCTCTCTTCCTACTCCGTTGTCTTTCAAGACTGCCATGGATGGCTCCATTTCCAATTCTTCTAAGGCTGACTCACCCATGCAGAGGCCTCAGAGAGGACCTCCAGCCCCCGAGTTTGCCTCATCTGCCCCACCTCCAGGCCTGCCAGTCAGGGGGATTACATCGAGACCTGAGCCTGAGACCTGACGGGCCTCCAGATCTAGCCGGAGCCCAAGTCCGCTGTATCCTGAGGTCTACGGGCAAGAGGCAGAATCAGTAGCAAAAAGGGATATGGGGTGAGGGGCGTCCCATCGGGAGAGCAGAGCGGGAGCGAGAGCGAGGCCGCAGCACCAGAGCAGTCGGCCTTCCTCCCACCTCGATGCTGGGAAGGAGCTGGGATGCAAGATGCCTTCGCTTCAGTGCCCTGGGCTCCAATCCTCGTTCTGCTACGTGACCTTGGCTAAGTCACACCGCTTCTGCGGCCTGTTTCCTCCTCTGTAGAGGAAAGGCTTGGATCTCCAAGGTCCCCCAGCCTTGACTTGGAGGTGCGGTGGGCCTGGTGGCCCACACGCCCGTCTCCTCCGCGTCGCGGACAGAGTGCTTCTGTTCCTCCACAGCGCCAGCCCCTCAGCCCTTATCCCGGCCCGGGGAGGGAACGCGGCTCGCCTAAGGTGCCTGAGGGCTCACGGAGGGGCCAGCGCTGGGAGGGGCCCCAAAGCGACGCTGGAGCCGCCAGCTGGGGGGCGGGGGCGGACAGGGCGCTGAATAATGAATGAGACTTAATTGGGCCCGCTCTGCCAGGCGGTGCGCTAAGCTCGGCAAACAGCTCGGGCGGCGGCGGCCGCCGCTGGACAAACAAACTCGCTCCCCGCGCTGGAAGCGGGGTGGGGGAGGCAGCGGCGGAACGGGGAGGGAACGGGTAGGCCGCCTGGCCCCTGGGCCGCCGCGCGCCGCCAGCTCCGAGGCCCGAGGAACCCAGGGCTGCTGGGCGGCGCTGGCCTCCCAGAGAGTGGTGGTCGGGGACCGGGCTCAGGGTTCGATCCCTGGAAGCGAGGGCCGGGGGGTGGGGGGGGAGAAGCGGATTGTGCGGTGGGAGCCAGGGGCCCAAGGGCGACAGGAGTGCGCGGAAAAGATGGAGAAATGAGTGGCAGGCGGAGGAGAGAGGGAGAAATGAGGGAAGAAAAAGCGCACCGGGGGAGGGGCTGTCGGGGTGGGGACGGGAGAAGAGCAGTTACCGAGAGGAAAGGGAAGACTGATGGAGGAACAAGAGAAGGGAGGCGCGAGGGGCCGGGAGAAGAAGAATTGGAGAAGAGTCAAGGAGAGGGATGGGAGGTGACCGGAATGAGAACGAGAGGGCGTCAGGGCGGGCAGGAGGCGCCCCTGCCTCCGCCTCGCCCCGCCGCGCTCCCGCCCTAGCGCTCTCTCCAGCCGCCCGCACTCACTTTGTCACAATTACGGGGCCGTCACTCGGCCCGGATTGTTTTCCCCAAATTGTTGTTCTATAAACTGGCGCGGGTGGAAGTGGGGGGATCTGACAAGCTGAAGCGGGAGGGGAGGGTCTGAACCGCGGTGGCGGAGTATCTACCCACAAGCGGACCGGGGCGGGCAGGTGAATCCAGCGACCCACGCGGGGACTCTGGTCGGTGCCCCAGCCTCGCTGCAGGTCCCGCTTTTTTAACCTTCCTGGCCCTTCTCAGCCTCGGCTGCCTCGGTTTCCCCAACAGAGGACTGTGAGGATTGGAGGGCAGGGGCCGCCGCGGCAGTTGTATGTGGGGCCCAAACTTCCCCGCTCGCCCATTCTCTTTTGTTCTTGATACCCCGGCCACAGCGGGAGAGGGTCTATCCCAGCTCAGCCGTCCCCAGAGCGCCCCTCGGATGCCTGCTCACTCCCGCTGGATGGCCAGACTCCCACCCCCCACAGGTCTAGGCCACCCCTTGCCCCGCCCGCGCCCTCCAGCCGCTCGGTGCCCCCACGCCACCTTGTCCCTCAATTGCGCAAACATCTGTTGCGCGCCCACTGTGAGCCAGAGCCGCGCCAGCCTTCCTCCCCCCGCACCTCTCCCCCGCCACCCGCCCCTGCCGGCCCGCCCGGCCTGTCGGCTTCGTGACAGCCGCCGCCGAAGCCCAGGCCCCGCGGGAGCGGCCTGAGAGGAGCCGCCGCATGGCTGGCTCCGACACCGGCCTCCCCGGCGGCTCCAGGGGCAACGGAGGGTGGCGGCCGCTGAAGCGAGACCGGAGCCGGCCCGCAGAGTTGGCAGAGCTGGGCCGGGGAGGGGGGAGAACCCCTGCGCGGGCCTGTCTCCCCGTCTCTGAGGCCTGTCGGTCTCCTCATTCCATTGCCCTAGGGTCGGCCCGGCCGGGAGCCCGCCGGGCTCCGCGCGCCTGGGACCCGGTTGGCTCCCGTGCCCCCTCCCCCAGTCCGGGTGATTTACACGCGGGCTCGGCGCAGCGGCCGCTTCCCAATCAGGAATATCGACCCCGGGCGGGGCCCCCGGGCCGCATCGATCCCTCTAAGGCTCGGGATTTAAAAATGTCAAATTTGCCTTTTCCAGGC